GTGGACATTAGTGGAAAGTTGCAGTCAGTGTGTTTGTAAAAGAGGCCTATGGCAAGACTATCGGCAGTTAGTGTCAAATCCAGTGAAAGTGACACCAAACTGCAGTAAATAAATAAATACTGAACGCAACCTTTTTACGGGCATTTTGTATTTTTCAGTTACAGATATTGTGATGTATCGTTATGTGATTGTCCTGGGATATATCGAGTATCGCAGTATCACAGTATCGTGATAGTATCAGTATCGTGAGCCATGTATCTCGTATCGTATTGAGAGGTACCTTGTGATTCCCACCCCTATTATGCACCCAATTGCTCTTTCAATCAAATATACTCTGTAAGTAACCTTCACATTGGCAATCAAACAAGACAGTATAAGTTAAACCAAATTATTTTATCACTGAAAGAATGAAATATTTAATACATAATAAAGATGAAAGGTGGATTAAATATACAGACAGAAATAAATACGTAAGTGAAGGACATTTCCCACTCCTTGATCTGGGCTTGTCTTTTATTGTTCCAGGAGATAACTCATTTCTCTCCATCGTATTGCCCAGTAAGATCAGAAAAGCTTCTTGGAAGCTGCTCTGTCTGGGGAGCCATTACGTTTGAGACAGCAGAAGGAGACTAAATCAACTCAATCAAAGTACATAAAAGTGCAGTGAGTGACAATGGTGCATTATTAATGATGCCATTAGCTCCAAATGCAGACTTTCCTTGGCTAATCTCAGAGCAAACCTGCGGGGGGAAACTTTTTGTAAGCTTAAGCCTCTCCATAACCACAACTACCTAATAAACATCCTGGGAAAAATGTACTTGAAGCAGTTGTTAGCATTCAGACATTTCCTTTGATAGGCCAGTAAAACATGGCTTTTGTCAGGACATTGTGGATACTGTTACAGGTCTTCCTGATGGGTTGTGGTTTGCTTGGCTTCTATAGTTGCAAAGTCTCAGGCAGCAGGTGTAGAGAGCAGAAATCCCTTCTGCTGCAATCTGACTGCACAACACACAACCAGGGAAATCTGAAGTAGTCTTTTAGCATTTCTCATCATTGTCATTGATAGAGTTAGGCTGAAATTTGAGTGTAAAGCTGTATTGAACCAAATAGAACATATGGCAATATGGCAGCACAACCAATGTATGCAGTGGCCTCTCATCACTCTGATATTCATTTATTCAACACTTAGCTTAGCTACACCCTTTTTCATTTTTGAACAACTCTGCAACACAACAACACTGCTCACTGTTCTTAAACTAGCTTTATATTTACCCTGTTTTCCCTTTAGATTTATTATATCAAGATTATTCTTTTGTAATATCTGTACACTGAATAATGACAGATAAAATACATTTTCAGTCTTGAATCTTAGAATGAGCTTTTATATGTTTCACACAATATGTCCTCTGGATTGCTTGGCTCTTAAAATTTAGCAAATATATAAGGATTAACTGCAAGCGAGTTAGTAACAAACACACTGTGCCCTCTGTGTATGTTTTTCCCCCCCCAGCTTTTTCCTTTCTGTACATTCGTGAAAGAGATCCATACTTTAAAGCCCCAAATTGAAACTCTTGAATCATGTTGACATGTGTTTGTGCCATTTTGCAATCACCCTGGTGAATTTTTAACATGCATTTGTCATTGACCTAATGTATAACAATGCTGCCAAAAAAAACCCACTTTTAATCTTAACAGTTTGACTATAAATAGTACTGAGTCTGTGCTTAGCTTTGCACAGTCATTGTGTGTTAAAGTGTAGCACAAGTCATTACCATACCTCTTAATAATGGCCATGTGGTTAGTGAAGCTGTAAGGATGCTGTATGAGCTGTTTGGTAGGCGACACCTTTGATTTTATTTGGATATAAACACAATTATAGGTGACGATCTACTGCTCTTCAGAGGATTTGTACAGATTGTGTCATTACTAGTGTATATGTAAATATTTTATCTTGAATGTTCAGTAACTGCTAACCAGGTAGCCTGTGTCATGTTTCCCGTCTGCATGCTGACCAGGTATCTGTTGTAGTGGTCCTCTATGTCATTCAGCTGTGTGTCTGGTGAGTCTGTCAGCTGGGAAAAGAAAGGCATTGTTCTGCTTTATGCTGGAGTTCCACTCCTGCTAGAACCTGTAGCACACACATGCCTCCACGCCAAGCTCACTCAGGCTGCAGAGCAAAACAAGGGCATCATAAAATCTGTGATGAGGTCAACTAACAACCTCCAGAGCTGTAAAATAGAGCCAACAGGGCAAAAAATTATCTGCAAATGTCCACTTGAGGCTGCTCCAAAACTGAGTCAATCTCCATCGACCCCCATGTTAACATGACCAACTTTACAGCTGTGACACTTGGATGCTGTCTGAGGCACAGTTCATCTTACTGAACTTGGCTCAATTTGACAAAAAAATTACTTGATTGGAATCTGTAAACAGTCAGTATGTCCTAAAACATATCAGTAATTTACGTCAGAGGTCCAAATGCAAAGAGTTACAAATGTTTTACACTAATAGTTAAGAGTATTTTCTTTTTAGATTCATTTTTCATGTGCTCACAGAGGAAAAACTCAGGAGTAGACAGAAGTTCTGGTTAAGAATATTTGTCTCTTATCCTGTGTTCTCTCTCTGTCCTTTGTCCTCAGGAGCTGGCTGACCTTCGCCATGTTCACACTAAGCTTAAGAAGCAGTTCCAGGAAAAGACAGCAGAGCTTGCCCATGCCAACCGGAGGGTGGAGAGCCATGAGGCTGAAGTCAAAAAGCTCCGACTGAGGGTGGAGGAGCTTAAGAAAGAGTTGGGACAGGCTGAGGACGAGGTAGGAACATGGCTGTATTTGTGTAAGTGCAGTTCTAATACAAAAGTCAGACCATTATTGCTCATGTCACATCATTCAGGATGTTCACCTTCTGAGTATTTTCCAGTCATCCAGTTCAAGATTCATGCCAAGCAACACTTTGACAAGTAAACACAAAACACTCAGGATTCACCTGTGCTGTTGTTGTACAGAAAGCAATTTTAGTGGTTGAAGATGACAATGACAATCATGGCTGAAACTTTGATATGGTCCTTGGCCACTATTTTTATATATCGAGTGCTACAGTTGTGGGCAATCCGACCATGTACTCTTGCTAAATTTAACATGAGATGTGGGAAGCATGTCTGATGTAATGCATAACATCATGAAAAAACTGTTTCATAAAGTAATATGAGCTTCCTAAAGCTTTTGAAATAAACTTTATGTAAATTATTTCAAACCCTTGTCTCAGAAAATAAACCCCAAAAAACCTCCAGTCAGCTAAAGCTGTAGATTGTATATAAAAGATGGACTGGTCTAAAAAGTGAAGTGGAAGTGCCTTATATTGCATTCTTTCTGACAGCCAGCAGGAGAGGACTCCTCTCATTGCAGAAAGAAGTTTATTGTAGAAAAGTCTGTCAGATGATAAGACCTTGATTCCCACTTGATCTGTTACATCAGTAAATATGTGCCTAATGAGTTTAGTTCCTGTTTGATATTTTCACATTTTAAGTGGGTTGGCATCAGGGACACCGCACTTGATTGGTTTTACTCCTGTCTTTTAGACAGAACCTATTCAGTCACAATAGGTGATCATGCCTCCTCTTCAGCCCCAATTACCTGTGGTGTACCACAAAATTCAATTTTAGGTCAAATTTTAAGTCCAATTTTATTTATTTTCTCCCCTTACATTTTAATCCAATGTCACAATTCAATTCAGTTTACATAGCACAATTCCCAACATGTCATCTCATGGCGCTAAACATAGGAAGGTGAAGACCTTATGAAGTAAGATTACAGTGTATCCTTTCACTTCTTAAAACCCACTTTTATAGACTTGCTTTCGTGTTTACTTTTAGCTTTAATTAGTTTTAGTGTTGTATTCTGTATTTATGTACTACTTTTGTCTTTATTTTAGATGTTCTTTTTTTATTTTTATTTTGGCTGCCGAGTTTTTTGGTGTGATATCATCTTTAATTAACTAATTCTTTAATCTTGATTGTTTAATCTTCCATCTTGTTAAATTTTTAAACAGCTTTGTTCCTTTGTTTAATGCTTCTTTAGGTAATTATTCATTTAACTGCACTGCTTTGTCTCATGTTTTGACTGTCAAAGCACCTTGTGAACACTGTTCTTAAGGTGCTATAGAAATAAAATTATAAACCGATGGTTTACATCAGTTGCGACAGCATTTTTATTTTTTTACATACACAGGCTATGGAATAACTACCTTTTTATATGATAGCGGTCTTGGAAGCTAAACAGATAGAAATGTTTCCATGTATTTTCTTTGTGTGTCTAGTTGGACGAGTCGCATAACCAGACCAGAAAGCTACAGAGGTCTCTAGATGAGCAGGTGGAACACACCGAGAACCTGCAGGTGCAATTGGAACACTTACAGTCAAGGTAGGACATGCACACATCCTTTTAACCATTTTTGTGAAGATTCAGTGCCAGTGACAATTACATTGACCCTGTCTTAAAGCTCAACCATCACAACTAAATGCCAAACCCCACACAATTCACACAGTGTGTTCTCACAACACAGAGCTGATTTCAGCAGCATGGAAAGAAAGATTTTGTGAGAATGACTACAGCACTTTAATTTTTAAAACAAACCGTTTGTGTCACGTTGGGGAATCAGGGAACCCAAGTGCGGACACAGATCAGACAGATCAAGCAGACAGGCAAAAACTGAAGGGGGCAGACAGGCTCAGGGAATCCAGGACCTGGCAAGGGTTGGGGAAAAGCTGGAGTGAGGCTGGCTGCGGGGAGGATCCAGGTGGAGAGTGTGTTGCTGATGCCAGGGGGTCCAGGTGGCAGCGGCTCAGGAAGGGCAGGAAGGCAGGCGACAGAACAGGGACCAGCAGAAACACGTAGTATGAAGATCTGTGGTCTGGTGGAATGAGCAGGGCTTTATAGCAGGAGGTGGATGACTAAGTACAGGTGAGCTGATCCCTACAGCTGTCTCCAATACCTGCAATCAGGCAGGCTG